ATATTCCTCTCTAAGTTGCCCATTCTCATTAGCATTTCATTAAATGTTTTTTCAAGGTTCTTAGTTTCTTTGCATTGGGTTAGAACATGTTCTTTTAGCTCACACAATTTTCTTATTACCCACCTTCTGAAGCCTGATTCTGTCATTTCATCACACTCATTCTCCATCCAGCCTCGTTCCCTTGCTGGTGAGGAGTTGTGATCCCTTGTAGGAGGAAGGTGTTCTGGTTTTGGGTGTTTTCATCCTTTTTGCACTGGTTTCTTCCCATCTTTGTGTATTTATCCACCTGTTGTCTTTGTTGTTGCTGACTTTCAGATTGGGTCTCTGAGTGGATGTCCAGTTTGTTGATGATGAAGTTATTTCTGTTTCTTATTTTTCCTTCTAACAGTCTGGCCGCTCTGCTGTAGGGCTGCTGAGGTCCACTCCAGGCCCTGCTTGCCTGAGGATCACCTGCAGCAGCTGCAGAACAGTCAGGGTTGCTACCAGTTTCTTCTGCTATCTTTGTCCCAGAAGGATACCCACCAAATGTCAGTCTGATCTCTCCTTTATGAGGTGACTCTTTGGATATATGGGGGTCAGGGAGCTGCTTGAGGAGATAGTCTGTACTTTACTGGAGCTCTAGTGCTGAGCTGTGAGCTCTGTTGTTCTTTCAGGACTGCTAGGCAGGTACGTGTAAGTCTGCTGCATCAGAACTCATAAACCCCTTTTTTTCCCAGGTGCTCTGTCCCTGGGAGTTAGGGCTTTATTTATGAGTTTCCATTGTGCTGCTGCCTTTTTTTCAGGGCTGCCCTGCCCAGCAAGGAGGCAGCCTAGTTACTGTCTGCCTGCACGAGCTTTGCTGAGCTGCTGGGGGCTCCACCCAGCTGCCGTGTGAACTTCCCTGCAGTCCTGTTTATATGGGTGTAGTTAGAACTGCCTCGGCAATGGTGGCCCACCTCTGTAATGGCAGACTCTCTCTGTAATGGCGGGTTGCCTCAGCAATGGTGGGCTGCCTCAACAATGGCAGACTATCTCTGTAGTGGTGGAGTGCCTCGGTAATGGCAGACACCCACCCCCCACAGAGCTGGACCGTCCCAGGTTCAGCTGTGCTTTTTGTGAAACTCCCAACCCAGAGTGTTTCCAATTGCTGTTTTTTTTTGGGGGGGGCTGGGACCAGCCAAGCCTGATTGCCTGGCTCCCTGCCTCAGAACCTTTTTTTTAAGTTGAACGGTTGACTCTCTCCTAAGTGTACCAGTTGCCTGTTGAAAAGGCACCAGGATCTGTGTGATTTCCTGTGAGGCAACCATGGCACTTTTTTTGCCTGGGAATCTCCTAGCCTGGCCCCCTGTTTCAGCCCCCTTTTTAATCAGATGAATGGGCTACTCTGCCTTCCCAGAGCTCCAATCACCAGCTAAAAGGGCACCCAGATCAGTGTATTTTGTACGGAGAACCACTGCTCCAGGGCACCAGTAAAACAGCTGCTCTGGCCAAAACAGCCGCACTGGCAACTCATTGGGCTCCTCCGTCTGGGAATCTCCTGGTCTGTAGGCAATAAAAATCCGTCTGGAAATGCGGCGTCCACTCACCCTCTGCACTTTCACTGGGAGCTGCCATCCTGAGCTGCTCCTAATCAGCCATCTTGAATCTTCTCTCTCTTTTTTTTGGAGGTGGAGTCTCACTCTGTCACCAGGCTGGAGTGCAATGGCACAATCTCAACTCTCCACAACCTCCACCTCCTGGGTTCAAGTGATTCTCCTGCCTCAGCTTGCCAAGTAGTTGGGATTACAGCTGCCTGCCACCACGCCAGGCCAATTTTTTGTATTTTAGTAGAGACAGGGTTACACTGTGTTGGCCAGACGGGTCTTGAACTCCTGAGCTCAGGCAGTCCGTCCGCCTTGGCCTCCCAAAGTTCTGGGATTACAGGCGTGAACCACTGTGCCCAGCCTCAGGGTCTCAATTCTTTCCCTGAGTTTCCGGCTTCAGCCAGGTGCCCAGGGATGCTTGCCATGGCTTGATCCAAGGCCTCGTCAGAAGGAAGCAACACAGCTCTCTGTGGACCAGGGTGGGCAGCATTGCCTAGTAGGGGTTTCCTTTTCACCATCTGCCAGGAGGGCTGCAAGCCAGCTGGGTTTTTTACTAGCTGATCACTAAAACAAACACATCTACTAAAGACAAATGTTGGTGATATTCTCTGGGGACACTAGAGTTTAAATCCACACTGTGGAATTCCTCCACTAGCCAGGCACCTGTTCTGTTCTTGAAATCAGCAGGTCCCCATCCCTGGGCAGAGGAGCCTTCAGTCTTTGACATTCTCCTCCTGAGGCTGCTGGAATCACAGAAGGACCTCATTCCCCTTTAAAGTCAACTTTCCCTTCCCCGGCGTGTGGTTTCAAGACTTTGGAGCCTTTTCTTACAACAGGTGGGTAGGAGGGGGCTGACAGTTTCTTTTGTCACATAAACATTGAAACTTCAGCAACAGAGTCTGACTGTGTCAAAGCTGACACTGAGATATGCTGGAAAGTGGAGACAGAGATGGTCCTGTGTGGGGGAGATAAGGGATGTTGGAGCAGCTGTTGAGCCACACCCCTCATTTGCCAAAAGTTCTGTGGGGAAAAACTGGAATCCTGTTGAAAGCTTGAATGGTGAAACATGCAGATATGTCTTACAGGCTTGGCAGGCTGTGACAGATGCAGGGACATGGGCACAAAGATAGCGAATGTCTGACTCCCCACCGGCGAGGAAGGAAGAAGGCCGAAGGAGCCACAGTCGCAGCAGGATGGTCCCTGGGCCTGGGTCTCTGGAAAGCTGTGGGCGATGTGCCCTGACTCACCCCCATGGTGGAGCCCAGCACTACAGGAGGGAGGATACTGGTAAAGAATTAAATTAGAGTGATTTGACTGGAAGTGGACGCAGTGGCATAAGGAGCCTGCTAAAAGGGCGACAGCAGAGCAGTAAGAACTTTTTATATGGGCTGGAGATCCCTGGAAGCCAGTGGGAATTTTTGTATGGGCTAGAGATCCCTGGAAGCCAGTGGGAGTTTTTATATGGGCTGGAGATCCCTGGAAGCCAGTGGGAATTTTTGTATGGGCTAGAGATCCCTGGAAGCCAGTGGGAGTTTTTATATGGGCTGGAGATCCCTGGAAGCCAGTGGGAGTTTTTATACGGGCTGGAGATCCCTGGAAGCCAGTGGGAGTTTTTATATGGGTTGAGAGATCCCTGGAAGCCAGTGGGAGTTTTTATATGGGTTGAGAGATCCCTGGAAGCCAGTGGGAGTTTTTATATGGGTTGGGAGATCCCTGGAAGCCAGTGGGAGTTTTTATATGGGTTGGGAGATCCCTGGCAGTGGTGTGGGAGAGTTGAGGGCAGTAGGATGACCAGAGCCATGGGAAGCAGCTGGGTGTGTGCTTATAATCCCAGCACTTTGGGAGGCTGAGGCAGGAGGACTGCCTGAGCCCAGGAGTCCCAGGCTGCAGTGAGCTATGATCACATCACTGCACTCCGGCCTGGGTGACACAGTGAGACCCTCTATCCAAAAAAAAAAAAAATCTGTAAGCAGTGAGACACACAAGGACTAATCCAGCACACAGGTCTCAGCATACACCTCAGCCCATACCTGGAAGGCCAGGTGGTTGGACTAGGTGAGCAGCTGTGTTGGAGGGACAGGTGGCCTCCATGGGAGCAGAGGAGGGCAGCAGGATGACCAGAGCCACAGGAAGCAGCTGGGTTACATGTGAACAGCTCCCACCTGGGCAGCATCCGTCACCCACGCACTGTCTTGTCCTCAGAGACACAGGGCAGAAACGACTGCTTCTTTTCAGTGGCCACATTTTTAATCAGATGATGCTTGATAAAAACTGAATATCCTGCTCTTCACCCAACCTGCCTTTTCCTACCCAAACAAGAAAAAGCAAAAATAAAACAAGACCAGAAGAGCAACGAGGCAGAGGAAAGACCGAATCCCATCATACATGAAGGGAGGCCTGGGTCTCCCCACAGCCACTTCCGTCACCCACATCACCGCTGCCTGAATGCCGCCTTCAGCATCACAGTCCGAGACACTCTACTCTTATCAGTGTACCACTGGCATCATCATGTCCTTTCTTTGGGAATAGAAAGCAATGTTCCTGCTCCTGCGTGAGTTTGAACAAACAGCCCAAGGGGAAAAACAATTAATTCTTAAAGGAGAAAAAGTCTATTTCTCGTCTCAAGCACCTGGAAGACAGACTGGTTTCCGAGAACATCCTGTAAAATGTGCAAGCCAGATGTGGTGGTGTGTGTGTATAATCCCAGAACTTTAGGAGGCTGAGGCAGGAGGACTGCCTGAGGTCAGGAGGCTGAGGCCGCAGTGAGCTGTGATCACACCACTGCACTCCAGCCTGGGTGGCACAGTGAGCCTTTGTCGCAAAAAAAAATCCTTTAAGCAGTGAGACGCACAAGGAGGAATCCAGCACGCAGGCCTCAGCACACACCCCAGCCCACACACTCCCCACCCTCCCGCTCTTACCTCAGTGTCATAAGGTACGGCTCGGGCAGCCCTTGCCCAAACAGAGAAAAAGCAGGTGCAACATAGTGACCTCAAGGGACCCAATGGCACCCATGCTTTTCAAGAGAGGAAAGAACACAGAGAGCCTGACCTTTCCCAGAATCGCATTGCTCACTAGCCAAGCCGTGGCTTCCTTGCCAAATGTAGCTGGCACGAGGCTCCATCCACAAACACACCTGGCTGAGCAGTGGGCAGCTTCCAGGAACTCCAGGGTGCAGTTAGTGTGTTGACCCAACAGGTGCCCACGCCAACACCAGCATGGGGCCTGAAGCTGCCTGCCCACTTCTCTGTCACCTCTCAACCCTGATTGACAGCCACACTCACAGCAGGATGGGTCAAAGGGTCATGGGACACGTCACAAATGCAGTTGACATAGCCTGGGTACATCCATTCCACTTGTCATACACAGAAGGTTCCACTCTGTTCCACCATCAAAGACCCCTGCCTCCTAATGGGCTTCAGAGCGGGCAGGACGCACCTGTGCTCCAGCAGTGCAGCTCCCGTGATGGCTGGACTGCCACATGCTGGGATCTCAGTGAAGCTGCCCGGGTGTCCTAAACATGCTTTAGTCGTCCTTCTAGAGGAGGTAGAGACTGTGGTTATAGTAACAGGAAAAGTATGAAACAGGAAAGTACCAGGATGTCCCCAAGAACTGAACAGTGGCCTCTTGTGGACGGTCACTACTGGCCATCACTACAGAACTTTTATTCATTGTTTCATTGTTTTTAAAATGTGTGTGTGCGCGCGCAAGGCCTTGTATCTTTCGTCTGTGAGTCCCTCATCGTTGACTTGGGGCCACAGACTTTGGGTAGACAGCTCAATGTCATGCTGGGTTAGGGCATGGTTGAGGCACGGTGGCTTGTTATTTGGGCTGAGGACAGACGTGGCTTTCACTGAACTCTCTCCCAGTGCACTCTTAGGTAGGGAGGCTAGAAGTGTCCCCAGAAAGGCTGAAGACAAGTTTTTGGTTTGTTTGATTTTTGAGACGGATCTTGCTCTGTTGCCCAGGCTGGAGTGCAGTGGTGCTACGTCCGCTCACAGCAGCCTCCTCCTCCTGGGGTCAAGCAATTCTCTTGCCTCAGCCTCTGGAGCCACACGCACTGTTTTTAAAACAATGAAACACCTGGGCGGCTTCACTGAGATCCCAGCATGTGGCAGTCCAGCCATTGTAAAGCTTACTGGGCACTTGAGTCCAGTCCTGCCCGCTCTCAAGCCCAATTAGGAGGCAGGGGTCTTTGATGGTGGAACAGAGTGGACTCTTCTGTGCATGACAAGTGGAATGGATGCACCCAGGCTATGTCAACTGCATTTGTGATGTGTCCCATGACCCTTTGACCCATCCTGCTGTGTGTGTGGCATCAAGCACGTGCCATCATGCCTGGCTAATTTTTGTATTTTTAGTAGACATGGGGTTTCACCATGTTGGCCACACTGGTCTGGAACTCTTGACCTCAAGTGATCCTCCTAGCTCAGCCTCCCAAAGTGCTGGGATTACAGGCAGGAGCCACTGCGCCCTGCCCGAAGACATTTTTTAAAGAGAGATAGAGGGGAGAGCAGCTGCCATAGGGAATGAAAATGTGGAAGAAGAGAGGCTGTTTAAGAGGATTTTTTTTTTTTTTTTGAGACAGAGTCTTGCTCTGTTGCCCAGGTTGGAGTGCAGAGATTGCAGCTCGTTGCAATCTCCTCCTCCTGGGTTCAGGCTGATCTTGAACTCCTGATCTCAAGTGGTCCATGGCGTCGGCCTTCCACGGTGCTGGGATTCCAGGTGTGAGCCCCTGAGCACAGCCTGTTTAAGAGGATTTTGAAGGGGCTTTAGTGATTCCCTCTTCCATGTTTCCAAGAAATCACCATCAAAAATCGAAAGGTGCGTCGCTGTAACAGGGAGATCCACGAAGGGATAGCAACTACCTCTGCCTCCGGAGTCGGCAAAGGCTTCACTCAAGAACTGATCTAGAAGGATGGGTGAGAACTTTCTAGAATAAAAAAGATGGGGCTGGGCGTGGTGGCTCATGCCTGTAATTTGAGCAATTTGGGAGGTTGAGGTGGACGGATCACAAGATAAGGAGATCGAGACCATCCTGGCCAACATGGTGAAACCCCGTCTCTACTAAAATACAAAAATTAGCTGGGCATGGTGGCGCGTGCCTGTAATCCCAGCTACTCGGGAGACTGAGGCAGGAGCATTGCTTGAACCAGAGAGTCGGATGCTGCAATGAGCTGAGCCACTGCACTGCAGCCTGGTGACAGAGCGAGACTCCTGTTCAAAAAGTATAATGACAATAATAATAATGGACAGGTTAGTGGGTCTCAAAAGCAAGCCGAGGACAGATGTTAGTGATGACATTTTCACTGGTCTGAAGGGACATGAGAAAAATAAAGGTCAGGTAGTAAGCTTTACAAATGTATCCGATTGAAAGGAACTTAGGTTTGGGACGATGTACTTTCTACTTCTGGAATGATGCTGGACATAGATAATATCATCTATGGTATTACTTACATTCTCTCTTACTTAGCCTAATAAAAACATCACGTCTCCCACATTTAAATAAAAATATTGACCTTTGAAATGCAAGGGCCTGAGGGCCACCAAGCTCACTCCAGGCCAGAGTGCCGGATGACGCAGGCTGCCACGCTGGGCAGGCCGTGGTGCCTGAGCAGAACTGGGAGGAAGCCAGGGTGTGTGGAAGATGGGGCAGGGCAGTGGTTTAGGGTTACGTGGAGGACGGTCTTTCCTAGGGAGCTTGGACTTCATTCTTCAGGGGCAGTTAGGGGCTTATAGGTGAAGGAGAGAGCAGATTATATTTTACTAGAACCCAGTAAGATTAACTTTGGTTCCAGTAAAGCAGTGGACTGGAGAAGAAAGAGATACAAAAAGACCCAGACCGCAGATGCGATTTCCAGGGATAAGACGAGGACGTTAATTACGATCAGTGGCCACGTGGACGTGACTCGAGAGACTCCTAGGAGAGCATTGGCCACAGACATTTGTGTGATTAATGCTTTAACGCACAGTCAACTCATATACACAACCAGTATATATATATTGTGTTATAAAACCAGTATGTCTGAGGAGGTCTCACAGCTGAGTCTTAAAGACCGCAAATAGCCCGTGAGTCCTTCGCACCCACAGATCCTAGTTCCTGAGCCAACTCAAACAGTTTCAGGCCCTGGAGTTACCACCTGTTCTTAGTGTCACCTAAGAACATAGGCCTTTGGATCCCCTGGCCAGGACAGGAATCTGACACTAGGTTTAAGACTCTGGGGCGAGGGGAGGTCAGGCAATTTAAAGGAGCAGAATGGATTTGCAAGTACAGATGAGAAACTGCAATGGACATTTGGTCTCAGTGAAAGGGCTGCAATAGGGAGTGGTGGAGACTGTGGCAAACTCAAGCTCATGTGCCCTACCTAAAATGGTCAGCTGCCATTCTACATCAGACAACTCTTGCCATATAGGAATGAAACCATATTTTTGAAATGTTGAATGAAGCTGGAAATCTGCATTTTTGTTGTCGGCTAATTCAAGTTTTCAAACATAACAGCAACACTATGTGAGTTGAAATCAATTTTGTCGGCAAGCTGAATTTGTTCCACTGACCTCCAACCTTAGCCCTTTGGCCCAGGGATTAGATAATTATGAGGCAAATACATGAGACCTCACACCAGAGAGAGAAACATGAAGATAGGTAGTGATGTAGGTGAGATGTGAATCATCCGTTAGAAGAAAGAAAAGAGTATAAGACACTTTTTAACTTAAAATGAATAAATCACTATTCATAATTCTCCTCTTCCATTTCCAGAGGATGGAATAATGGGTTTTGGAAAATATACAGCACTTGCGACCATCAAGCAACGCCATTGCCATTGTCACGTTTTTCTTTCACAGTTGTTTTACATGAAGGAAGAACAAGCGTTGTTATCCTCCCTTGGCTGTTGAGAAAACAGAGGCACAGTGAGCCCTGCAGTTCCCTAAAATCACTGAGTGGTAGATTGCCACCTCTGGCATCAGCCTCCACAGCCACTTGTGAATAGGCCATCTTAGCACAGGACATTTCTCTCAGCAGCTGCTGGTCTCTGAAAATGCCAGAGAACCTCAGCACAGGTAGGCAAAGTGGGAGAGAGGATGCACCTGGGAAATGCTCACTGCTCCACGCTTGCCCACAGCCCCAGCAGAGGCAGGACCGCGGACACCAATCCAGGTGTGTGAAGAGCGCGTCTCTTGTCTGTACCATCTCACAGCGGCTCCACTGGGGGCTTTAGTGCCCTGTTTTTCTCACCTGCAACTTGTCAAACAGCATTCTCTTTTTTTCTTCATTGCTATTTTCATCAGGATTTGGAAGGAGCCATAGCTTATAAACACAAAATGGCAAAACAAAAAAAATTTAAAAAGATTTTGGAAGGGGTTGGATTTAGGACTGCTGGGTTGTTTCTTAGGTTCCTAACTTCTGGCTGACTTATTTTGAAAGTCACTTTACTGGGGTTTTCCCAATACTTACGTTCACCTTTGCAGACTAGCGTGAAAACATGTATAACATTTGGAAAATATGCATACAATTAAGCAATGGTTTTTAAATATACACTGGGAAATTTGTATAAAATCTGAGAAACGGGCCAGGCATGGTGGCTCACGCCTGTAATCCCAGCACTTTTGGAGATCGAGGCAGGTAAACCATGAAGTCAGGAGTTCAAGACCAGCCTGGCCAATATGGTGAAATCCCATCTCTACTAAAAAATACAAAAAAATTAGTCAAGCGTGGTGGCGCGCCTGTAGTCCCAGCTACTCAGGAGGCTGAGGTAGGAGAATCATTTAACCCAGAGGCAGAGGCCGCAGTGAGCCGAGATTGCACCACTGCACTCCAGCCTGGGCAACAGAGTGAGACTTCATCTCAAAATATATATATATATATATGAGAAAGGAATGAAACATGAAGGAGGCAGAATCTTATAGTAGTCTGGAGTAGGGATGCCAGGGCATGGGTTTAAATCCCGGCTCTATCATCTTCTAGTGGGATGACCATGGAAATGTACCTTCCTCTAGCTTCTAAATACCTTATGATGTCCTTATCACATATCTACCTTATAATATCATTAGGAGGTTATATGATTACCAGAAGGTGACCTGGGAAACAGCATGCAGGGTTTTTCTTTGGGGTTGCTTTTGGGATTGAAGAGGGAGACCCAGGCATCTCAGATCAACTTCCCCTTTTCATTCCTAAGACTGTAAACTTCCCCTTTTCATTCCTAAGATGGTAAACCGAAGCCCTTTTCATATGTAATTCCCGAGACTGTAAACTGAGACCCTTTTCATATGTTAAGCTATAAACCTAAGATTCTTCCACGCGTAACATCTAAAGTATAAGCCTATATAAAGAAGGAACCTCCCTTTGTTAGGCGAGCTTGGCTGTTAGGCAACTATGCCACCCTGCTCCCGGCCGAATAAACTCCTTCCTCCTGTATTCAGTGTCAGAGAGATTCGTTTCCCGCGGCCGCTCCTGCTGCAGGGTCAACTCATGCACCAGCAGGGGGAAGGCAAAGAAGCGAATCTGGACAGAGGGGGAAACTAAGTTGCAGTTTAGTCTCACC